ATTTTAACACAGCAAAAAAATAATTGAATTAATTGAAAAAAAACTAAATTTTAATATAATTGAATTAATTTCAAAAATTAATTTTTGCGAATTAATTTTTGCGAATTAAAAATTAATTTTAAAAAATAATTGAATTAATTTTAACACAGGGTTCGACAGTGTTCTTTAGTGAAGAAGAAGGAACGACTGGAACAAAGGAAGAATAGGGGGTAAGAAGGAAGAAAGAACGACTGGAACAAAGGAAAAACAAGGGGGGGGTCCGACAGTGAACAAAGAAGACCCAGGTGAAGTTGAAGGGAAGAAACGAGAAAGGAAGAAGAAGAAGAAAGGAAGAAGAAGGAACTCACCAGATGAAGAAGGAACGACTTCGGTATGCCTTTCAATGTCGACGAACGAAGTCGATCTAGGGCCCAGATGATTTGAACGAAGTCGATGAAGGGCCCAGATGATTCGAACTGAAATCAGGCAAAAATCTGGTGAAGCGTCGCTTCGTTTCGCCTCCCACTTCATTGCCTAAGCCTCGCTTCAGGCGCTTCTCCATCGCCTCACCATTTCGCCTCGCCTCAGTGTGCGTGAAGCGCTAAAGCCTCGCCTCGCTCAGCGCTTAGGCGAGCGCTTAGGCTCGCCTCTGATAACACTAGAACTACGTATGGAGGGTGAACCCCACTTCTTAGATGTAACTACATTTTTCATAAAAATTTAGTAATTGCCACATATACATTGTGGGTTACATGGTAACATGTTATTGGATATTGATATCATGTGTTAATGATGACATAATATCTATGAGACTAAGTTTAACAACAGCCCAAGACATGCTCTCCATATGCATACTCTCACATGCTTATGGGTAAAAGCATACAAGGCGCGCCTGAGGCACAAACCTTAGTGTGGCGCGCAAGCCTTTCAAAAGTATCACTTAAAAATCAAAGCCTCAATGCATTTTGTGTTAGCCTATTGATGTGGTATGTGTGCACTTACACTTCGTTTGGATTGAGGGGTTTGGTGAGAAAATAAAAGAAACGGCGAGAATGAGGTTTCTCATAACTTGTTTGGATGATTAATGAGGTGAGTAATGATGAGAAAGGAAGAGAAATAGCGAAAAAAACAATTCACACCAAACTATCAAAAGTTGTGAGATTTGGTGAGAAACCAAAATTATTCTTTATAAAAAAATTGATAATATCTAAACTACCCCTCTAAATAAAAAACACAAAATAAAAAGACACATGTATCTGTTTTTTAGTGATTGTCCATCCAAACAAGAATGTGAGAAACCACAATAATTTCTTGTTCTTTTTTTTTTTTTTTATCACCAATCAAAGAAACTCTAATCATTTACTTTCTTTTCTCATCTCATGATCCAAATAGAGTGTTAATGTTGGCTCCAAGATTTTATTTATCTTGTAATTTTATGTTTTAATATTATATTTATTTATAATTATTTAGGATATTAGCAATATTTAATTTCTTATTTTATTAGGATTAAGTTTTCAAATATTAATAGAATTTGATTTCCCATTTGATTAGGTTTTCTTTGACTTATAAATGATAAGGTTTGCATGGTCTTAGTCCGTATAGGGACTATTGATATTGAATATAAGGTTGTAACCGTTTGTGTTAGGGTTGTGGCCCTCTCCTCCTCTCTTTTCTTTCTCTATAGAGTTCTACATCATTTTGGTAATAGAGCCTAAGATCTTATCACCATTCTCTTCTCTTTCTAGAAGCACTCATTTTTTTAGGTTCATCATTCACAAGCTTCCCCGCATTGCAGCTGCCAACTACCACCATCTTCAGCAGCGACCCACTATAGTCCCATCAATGCTAAAATCAAAGTCATCATATCCATCGTCCTATTTCGACATTGTTCCTTGAATCATTATCATTGCAGTCTTCTCATCGACCATAGGTTCTTCCACCATCATCGTCATTCACTCCATCCATTTCACTGCCACATAAGAGTGAACGCTGTATTGATTTGGTGATTGCAGATCTAGTCAGCCTCGATCTCTTCACAAATCTCCATTGCCGTCGACCCTCACCATGGATCATCGTTGCATCCAGCCTCCTTGCCATCATCGGTGAGTTTTCTCCATCATCTCATTGATCCATCAATTAAAAAGAAGATGACCAGGACAACAGGTTACTCTTAACCCTTAAACCTGACCTGAAAACACTCCCACTCAAATAATCCTAAGCCCAACCCATTATCTTTTTGACCAGGTCCACTCAACCAGCCCATCTTATAATGGAACCCAAACTATTAAAATCCACTTTTAGCGCAAAACCCAACTAGCCCTTTATTACTCAAGCCCAACGCTAGCAGCCAAACACCCCACAAATCCAAACAGCTACCCATACACCCCAACCCAAGCCCAATAAAAAAATCAGCCCAATTCCCCAACTGGCCAATTGATTTAGCCAATGAGCCCAAACACCCAGTTCAGACCAACCCCACTTATTCCTTTATTTAAGCCCAATCACAAACTACTCCCTCAGGCCCAACCAACCCAGCATCGACCCAACCCAACACAAAATACAAACCAGTTCAGCCCACAAAAAAAAAAAAAAAAAAAAAAAAAAAAAACAGAGATCCAGCAGCCTCAGAAAAAAATTAGCCAAAAATAAAACCAGCCCAATACTTGATGCAGCACACGCAGATTTGAAGCAAGTTTTAAGCTAACCTAGGGTTAGGTTTAGTGAAATAAAGCTAGGGGAAGTTAGGGTTTAGTTATGAATGGTTTGGGCTGAAGGAAACAAGAATTTGTGACAGAAGAAAGACTGTTTATGGGCTGGAAGTAGTAATCTGTGAACAGAGGCAATAGGAAAAGAGAAAAAGATGAAAAGAACTAAGAATCACTCCTAGAATCTCTTAGGCACCACACATAGGGTTGGGTTGCATCACACAAACCCTAAAGAGGCTCATAGCTCTAAAAATTATATAAATTCTGATTGTTATTTTATTAGAAGCAATAGATTGCTTTATATAAGACTAGAAGACTTCCTTAACCAACTATGACCAAAATAGAAAACTACTAAAATTACTACAAAATCTTTGACTTCTAAAACCTATTTAATATCAAATAACACTCATAAACATATTAAGCCCATACCAAGACCCATGGGTCAACCCATGACCCTTTATTGAGACCCGCTCTAGAAATTCTGCAAATTACAAAAATACTCTTGACCCTAAAACATAAATATAAATAGAGGAAAGACTCAAATTAATTTATTCTAGTTCCCAAGTGGGCCCGGCATCATCCAACACATGCCAAATCAAAACTTAAGCCTTAGAAGCATCTTTGCCACGCTGTTTATAGACTTTAGTATTACGCTGCCACTTCTCTACATCAATACTTCAGCCCATAATCAAACCCAAACCTAGCTTTAAACTATTACCCAATTTAAACTAGGCCCAAACCCAAAATAGCACTAACCAAACCTATTTCACCCAAGTCCAGCCATTGTTCTTCAAATAGACCCAACTGCACTTAAATAAATGACAAAAAATAAATATTTAACAAATCTCTTCCTTCTTAATTCCCTTTGTCTTGTCCTTGACATCATGATGAATAATTCCTAATTATATTAAAAAATTGAAATATTTTCTCAAGAGTAACAAGAAATAGATTAATGTTGTAAGTGAAAGATAGAATGGGAAGCATCAAATACAACCAATTTTGAATAAATTGTTGGCCCATGTTTTAGGAAATATTTCAAACATTCCTCGAAGTGCTTGTGAAGTTCATGCGGAAATTGTTGATCAAGCCATTCCAACATGAGGACAGTGAAATTCTTTCGTAAGAAAATTCAGATGTTTAAGAAGCCGCTTTCACACAGACAACGCTCATACCAAAAGATTTGAACCTCAAGTTGCACTCAAACTTCTTAAATCCTATTCATACACCACCAATTGATTACTTGTTCAAGTTCGAAGGAATTGATTTTATTGGTGTTGAAGATTTCCTCCATGCATTCAGTTCATGTTTGGTGAACCTCCTCAACAGCTTAATCATAGGGATTCATTGCACTGAAACAAAGATCAGGCAATTCGCTGGTATGGAAGAGTTCAATGTTTCAGAGCGAACTCGAGGCCAAATTCTTATTCATCATTTTATGTTTTAATATTTATATTTATAGTTAATTACGATATTAGCAATATTTAATTTCTTATTTTATTAGGATTAAGTTTGCAAATAACAAGGATTTAACTTCCTATTTTGATTAGTTTTCCTTAGACTTATAAATTCTAGGGTTTGCATTGTATTATTCAATTTTGGGATCATTGACATTTAGTATAAGGTTATTGCTTGATTCAAATTATTTACATCTTCCGAGCCTTTAAAATTGGGTTAGACCTTGTGTCTTGGGTTTCAAATACTTCAATTTAAGGTTAATTTCATCTCACAAGCCTAAATGACCTCCACATATACAAACTCATTACAACTATCAAGTAACAATAATTCAGGGACTAACAAATGTATTTTAGGGGCCCTGAATTGGTACATTTCAGCATCTATCAGTTATAACCTTTTGTATTAGGGTTGTGGTCCTCTTCTTCTCTTCTCTTTATATGTAGCGTTCTACATCACTTTGTCTCAAGGAGAGCCACAATAACACCTTTTCAAACTTTGGACATTAATTTCTATTATAACTACAACAGAATTTCATCATGTACAACATACTTGAGAGTAGGACTGTTCAAATACCCGAATCACCCACCCAAAACGACCGATTTGAACCAAAAAAACCATGAACGGATGGTTTCAAAGAAGCCAACGGTCAGCTGACTCGGTCAATTTCGAATCTTATTTTGGTCAAATGCGGGTAACCAAATCTTCCACCAGATATAGTCGGTTCGGGCAGCGGGTTAACTATGAACCATGAATGACCCTACTTGTGAGAACGAGAATACCCTCCTTCCAACCCCTAAAAAAAACACATATAATATTAAAATGGAATAAAATACAAAAGAAAGAGACCCAAATGTTACATACCAGCAACTCCAAAATATGTATGAAAGACATCAACAGCATCATCTGGCCTATCTGAAATACCTCCCTTCTCCTTATCCTGCATTTTTCAACATATGATCTAAAGGTAAAACCGCAAATGATATGGAATTGTGACATGAGAAGAAATTGACTGGTCATCATTGTGGAATTTTCCAGACTGAAAGTGGAATATTTAGATTCTAACCTGACAGTCCAAGATATATTTAACAAGCTTTTCCTTGTCAATCCAATGAACTCTGTCAATGATGATCAAGCTAGAAAGGACCCACCATGAGTAGCAGACCTACAGTGAAGTAGAAGCTCTAGTAATAAAAATTACAGAAATATTCAAAGAAAAATCTTCAGTTCAAAAAGAACAGAGTTATGATAGGGACCCCAAATACTTTGTCAAACCTCTTACATGGGTGTGGGACCCACAAACATGTGGATTTGTGTGAGTCCCACTCCATGTGAGAGGTTTGATAGAATATTTGGTAGAATATTTGGGATACATAACATTTCTCAAAAGAATAACCTACATCAGGAAGCTTCTCAGGACGCCCATTTAGACCTCCAGATTTAACTTGTCGCTCACATAACCACCACCCAAGGAGGTTCTTATCAATATGATGTAGAGAACCGGTTATTGCAAGAGCACCCACACAACAAAAAACTGCAGTTACAATGGCCATACCACCAGTGTAATTTTTTAGTCTAATTTCAGAATTCAAACATTTATACAAACCATAAGATATATCAATTACTATTAGCTCAATGAACATCTTAAAGAGTTGTTTACTCTTCATAGAGAAATTTCCAATACACTTAATAGACTGATTGCATAATCACTCAAAAGATCATGTCTTCTTGGAATCGTTTTTATCTACTGTCCATTTGTTTCACTCAAAAGATCATGTCTTATTGGAATCGTTTTTTCTACTGTCCATTTGTTTCTTACATGTACTTATTTTTATCTGATATCCATTTGCTCTTTAGATCATTGCCTCATTCTGCAACAAACATGAAAATTCAACAATAAAATCTCTTAGGCAGCCTAAGCATAAGCACACAAATCATAAGTTTCAACAAACCCAAGTGCTGCAGATTCTAACTCATGTAGCATATTGATAACATTACATGCTCATCATGTTGGCCAACTCTTGTCAGAATATTTGGGCTTCCTTCAGAATTTCCAATTTCTTGAATGATTGCCAACTGGTTTTCCCAATAAAAGAGCTTTCACTCTTTTGTTGTAACCAAGTGTTAACTTGGAAAGCTGTAAGCCCGTAGGGCATTTTGCTTTTGTTGTTAACATGTAATACTTTTGTAATGAAACTTTGATGAATGTAAGGTTGTGGGACTTTTATATATCAATGCATATTTATTTGATGGGTGTAATGTAGTTATTTTGAGGGCGTTACAAGTATTGCAGATTCTAACTCATGTAGCATATTGATAACATTACATGCTCATCATGTTGGCCAACTCTTGTCAGAATATTTGGGCTTCCTTCAGAATTTCCAATTTCTTGAATGATTGCCAACTGGTTTTCCCAATAAAAGAGCTTTCTATTTTAGCTTTATTGCAGATTATGGCTGATGCAACCAGAACGCTTCATGCAAGACTTGTAGCTTTTCAAGAGGGAAAAATTGGTCTCATAGGTCCTCAAGGCATATTTTTTTGGTGAAGGGTGGCTCCCAGTGAGGATTGTTTACATGTCTCACTATTTCTTGTAAGAGTGGCCAAAAGAAGTAACCGCCAACTGTGCAACCATGACAAAGTTAAAATTAAAAGTAATCTGAGAATTGTTCAACATGTAAATGATTTCATGTTGAGATTGCTAAAGTAGGCAATTCACAGAGAAGTATTTTCAGGTGCACTACAAAGGATAATGTGATGATCGGGCCTTTGTTTTCTTCTTTTTCTTCTTCTTCTCCTTCACTCCGTTCTTTTGCTCTCGTTGAGCTTGAAAATGTCGAAAAATTCGTTCCAAATAAAGTCCTTATTCTTGTTTTGTTCGGTGATTGAACTTCACCCATTCCGGAAAGGGGGCGGTCGAGTCTGGGGTGCTCGGGAGGCCGAACCTGAGAATTTTGGTCTGCTGGGCCAGGGCCGCACGTGCGGGGCCCTAGGCCACATGTGTGGAATGGGGGCTGCAGGTGTAGGAGGCCAAGCCGCACGTGCGGGAAGAGGGCTTTTTTAGTGGGATGCATTCTGCCAAAAAAGCACGTGCGTGAGGAGGTGTGAGGAGGTGCTGCACGTGGGGGAGTGATGGCCGCACGTGCAGGAGGCACTTGTCGTACGTGCGGGAGTAGGCTCCATACGTGCGGGAAAAGTCCAGATCCGAGGCTCTATTTTTATTTCCCTTTTTGGCCGAATTGTATCTCATTTTTTGGTCTCTCCCTCTCTCTCTAAACCCTATTCTCTCCTCCTCCTCTCTAGACATCCTCACCAAAACACAAAAACACTTTGGTTCTTGCAAATCTTGAGTCAAGATCACCATCTTTTTCTTCTAATTTTGAAGATCAAAGTAGAGCTCCTCTCGGTGTTGTGGAAAGTTGAAGGATCTTTCATCCAAACTAGGGTTTCATCATCTCCCTCTTCATCAAGCTTGAAGTAGGGACATTCTTGAGTTATATATACATGTTTTGCAAAGTTTGATGTTGATTTGATGTTTATCCTAGTTCCTTTATGAAATTTTAGTTTTTGTTTCAAAATGATGAGAATCTTCAAAATGAGGGTTTAAACTTTAAAATGTTCTAAATTGATCCTTAAAGCCTTTTACCTATTATATAAGAAAAATGATTTTGATGAGCTTTCACATGAAAATGGGAGGTGTTTTGGGTTTGAGAAAGAACCCTAAAAATTGGGGGGTTCTTTTTCAAAACATAAGAAAAACTATGAAATTCTTTTTCTTGTGTGTAAATAAGTAAATGAGTGTGGATTTCACCATGTGATATAAAGAAATGATAATTTTTCTTGATATAAAAGAGTGAAGGACTTTTTTTAAACTAATGTTGAAGCATGGAAATACTTAAGTGGAAAATGATAATTGTTGTACATTATGGATTGTGAGAATTAATGTTTGAAAAACATTACATGTATTCTTGACGAGATTATATTGCTAAGAATCGTGAAAGGTGATATTGTGGCTAAGTGTAGATAATATATGGTTATCTTGGGAAAGAGTAATAAAAAGAGGTAATGGAAAATGTGATTATTGGCATTATTGTAGAGACTTTGACAATGAGAAATTAATTATGAAGTTATTATATAATAGATGAACATGCATGATTGAGGAATGGGAAATTGGTTTGTGCCATGGATTGTGGGAATTGCTATGAGTCGAAGGCATATATGTTATTTTGTGAAATAACATTGAAGAAAGGAAAAGAGAAATGTATTTGTTCAATACTGTTGTCATGTTACTTGAATGGAGAAATGTTATGGGGTTATAGAAAATTATTGCATTGCCTATTCATTCAATTATTATTTTTGCATTGTAAATTCTGATTGAAGATATTTATTACATGAAAGAAAATAACGTTGTGATATGAATCATGGAAATGTGGTATGGGGTAAATATGTGGTAAATCCAGATAGAGGATGTAGTTGAACTTGTTAAGTTGGCCTGAGTGTCCATGGTAAAAGACCAGAAAACCGCGCGGATAGGTGTTGATCCTTCCGGTTAATACCGGTAAAAATGACAATTTGGTAGTACTCGTAGAGTCTACTTGCAGACACCAGTCTAAGGATTACCAATGTCGTATTTACCGCTCCTATCGTTTAAAACTGGAAGATTTGAAATGTGTTGAGATTGCAAGCTTTTATTAAAAAATGAAAATCTTTGAGAAGAGCATGAAATAAAGTTTTCTTTAAAAAGGGCATTGCATGGCATTGACATTTACATTTACATTGAGAATTGCATAACTATATATATTTTGTGGGAATTCTCTACTGGGCTTTATGCTCACCCCTATGGGACTTTGGTGCAGGTAAGGACAACGTGATACCGCCAAGTTGAGGGCGCGGATAATTGTAAAGAGTACATAGCTCTTATTTTGTTGTAATCTTCTGTGAGCCAAGGGCTAATGTGTTTGTGTCCGAGAGACCATTTTGTGTAACCGGCCTATTACCTTGGAAGATGTAAGCCCCTAAGGGCATTTATTTGTTTTGAGTTTTAGATGTTTCATATTCTATAGATTCGTGTGTTCTTTTAATTCGCTTGAATGTATATTGCAAGTGGAACTTTTGTATAAATCCATTTATTATGTATGAGATGGTGGAAGGATTATTGTCATAGATTAGTCAATGTTCATTAATATGGTAGTACATGTTGAATTATTTTGGGGCGTTACAGATAAAAAAAGAAATGCCTTTTTGACAATTTACTCCACTAATGGTGCTCTTTGGTTTACCCTCCCAAACAAATAATCCAATTCTTACAACACTAAAGATAAAAAAGCAAGTGAACTGCAATAAAAGCAAGCTATAGGAAATAAATAAAAGAGTGCAATAGAAGCAAGTTTAGAGAAAATGGCTTCCACCATCATTAGCCAAAGGATCTTTTCCTAAGAACTCTCTTTCCTTTGAGAGTCCCACATAGTCAATGTTCATTAATATGGTAGTACATGTTGAATTATTTTGGGGCGTTACAGATAAAAAAAGAAATGCCTTTTTGACAATTTACTCCACTAATGGTGCTCTTTGGTTTAGCCTCCCAAACAAATAATCCAATTCTTACAACAGTAAAGATAAAAAAGCAAGTGAACTGCAATAAAAGCAAACTATAGGAAATAAATAAAAGAGTGCAATAGAAGCAAGTTTAGAGGAAATGGCTTCCACCATCATTAGCCAAAGGATCTTTTCCTAAGAACTCTCTTTCCTTTGAGAGTCCCCCACAGGAGACTTTAGTTTTAATTACAGCTGCGTGCTTCTAACTTAGTTCATAGTAATAAGTTTGTCTCTCAGAATTCTTATTGGAAGAATCATAGTAGCAGGAATTGCACCAAAAAGTTACATTTCTTTCTAAGAACGCGATTCTGCGCTTCTTAGAGAGAAACGTGTAAGAATTGCATTTCTATTGAGAGGGAATCCCGTTTCTATTGAGAGAGAAGCGAGGAAAAGAAAAACCTGATCTAGTCTTGCGATTAGGGCTACAAAAGTGGAGCTTCTTCCATGTATTTGCTTCGCAAGCTCTTTGATCTTCATCTTCTTCGATTGTTGAAAGAAAAATCCCCACCCCTCCTCCCCTCTCTCGATCGCTGCCAGACTCCCTCTCCCTCTCCCTCTCTCTCTCTCTCTCACACACACACACACAACTTTTTCTTCGTTCGTAATAACAAACTGAAAAGTCTAAAACTTAAATTTATTAATTTTCCTTTATATAATATATATTATAAATTAATATCTTTTCATTTAACTTCTCTTTTTACAATTAATGAAATCTGTCTTGCTGGACGTCCACTGCACAAATACATATAAATTCCACCTAACTAACTTATTTACAGATTATATTATAATTTCATTACTTTTAAATTCCACCTAACTGATTAATTTTTTTATATTTAAAATGAATATTTATTTGCTATTCATTTTTAAAAAAATATTTTTTATGCTGTATTTAATTAATTAAATATTATAAAAAAAAATTAAATCTCATTTATAACATATATATGTCAATTAAAAAATTTTAAACCAAACCAAACAAAACAAAACATTAAGTTCCATCAAATGAGGTCGGCTACATGAATTTTTTTTCTCCACTCAACTCTATCAACAACCATTTGGTTAGTCAAATTGAGGAGATTCATATCTCTATTTATTACACTAGCCCACGTCAATCTAGATTTGTCCCTTTCCCTAACAAGTCTATCTATCGTCACTGTATTGTATCTTTTCACTACTGTTCTGTTGATCTTCGTTATATATAACCAAACCAAACTATCTCAATCTATTCTCCCTCAACTTATGTTCTATCGGTACTACTTCTATCCATTCATGAATATATGCATTAAAAATATTAAAAATAAAAATATATAAGTGCTTTCAACCTACAACTCTTCTAAATGGCCCCGCTCTCGCTCCCATTTCGTGCAACTAAGGAAAGAATGCCTATTTGAAGAATAGCAAAAAGTGTAATCTAGAAGCAGAATCAGTACATTATAAATTCAAGCAATTTCTTACAGCCATTGCTAAAGTTGTGCTATCTAGTAGGCAGAGTATTTTCCAGACTGTAGGTCCCTTTGTGGCTCCTGAGTTAGCTATAAATACTGAGTACAGAAGGTGTTCTCAAGTGCAATTTGCTTTAAGCCAGCAAAAAGAAAGACAAAAATCACATAATTACTTGTGTTCCGACTATTCTACTCTTTTCAGCTCAATCCCACAACCAGTTCAATTCCACAACCCTTACTTTAATGCTAATTTATGACAATAAATGAACTGTCAAACAAACCAGATAAAATTACAAATGTGAAAATCAGTTTGAAAAATAATCAAGAACTCGCACATATAAAATCGAAGAACATTCTAACCTCAATAGGTTTATAAATGAGACAAACTCACAGTCAGGATGATTCACCAGCTTGATTAACTCAGTAGTAATCAGAAACAAGAATCATATATTAAAACACAAAGCATAATATGCACGGCGTACTTTGTCCTGCATGAGATTCTGCACCAGGTGTGCAGCCAAATCCACCATCCAGATTCTTGCAACTGACAATGTACTTCACAGCTTTGTCCACATTAATTTTATTCAAATGATGCAACAGGGCAAGAGAACAAATTGCAATATAAGAGAACCTATAGAAAGAATAGTTCTGGCTATAATGTCTCCACATGAATAACTAACAACTTCAAGATAAACAGAGGATGCAGAAAATACAAGTCAGTTGGGGAAATCTAATACCGTGTATCAACTTCACCCCACATGTCACCTGAAAAGGATCCATCATCATTCTGCAGCCCAGCGATGTCTGATTAAAGATCAAGTATAACAAAAAAAAAATTATAGAGATGGTCTTTTTACCATCAATTACATTTTTTAATAATCAGTCCAGTCAATGTTGGAACATTTACGGAGTAGCCTTTTTATTTTCAGTTACCATTCCATATCTGAACTACTAAGGTAGTATTTGTAACGACTACATTATTTGGTAATACCTGTTGTATTGTATTCATAATGTTATGTTTATTGTGCTGGGAATTGTCAAACTGATTTAAATTTCTGATTCAGGGGCAGCAAGTTGAGAATTTCTAGGCAGGCCAGTCAACTGGGCAGACGTCCGGCCACTCTTCAGGTCACGCTTTCGCTTGTTTAAAAGCTGCATTTTGCTTAGTTACTGCTTTATAACTTTATGAGACTTCCTCTTTTTCTCATTTATGATTTACAACACCCTCTCTTACTCCCATGTCTCTCTACATTCACTCCTTGATTTGAAGCCCTTGGAGGGGCATTTTGCCAAGAGTCCAAGAACCAAAGTTCTCTACTCATCAAGCTCTTTCTAGTCATCCGATTGGAGCTGGTTTTCACTCATTTTCCTCAAGCTAAGGTTTGGTTTCTCTTCACTTTTGTGATAGTTTGTTTATACAAAATGATAACCATTTTCTCATGCATCCATCTAACAAGTTAGGGTTTCTAAATGATGGCTGAGAATAATTGATGTTTTCCTCCTCATTGCATTATTTTGAGAATATATCATTGTACATGGTGTTAAATTGAAAGCCCCAATTATTTCACCCAAAAGAAAAGCCCCAATTATTTCAAGACCCTAATTTATCATTTGAGCAGTATTTGATGAAATTGTGGTTTATCACCATCATGTTATAAATTGTAGAATCTTCTCATAATAACACCCATTTCGCGCCTCTTGGATCATGACATATATACTCATGAAAATTTTATAAGTCATGAAAAGTCAAGAATTGTTTCGCAAGCTTGAAATATTTGGACTTGGTTGAATTGAAAATTGAGAATTAGAACTTGGAATTGTATTCATGGAAATGAATTGGTTTTGAGAACCGTGGATTGAACGTTTTGAAAAAAAAAGATGGATTTGAGAATGAAACGGATTTCTAGATAACAGTGAATTCGAGGTAGTGTATAGAGATTGATGAGATTGTTAAGTTGGGTTGAGACTCCAACGTGAAAGACAAGAAATCCGTGCAGAGTAGGTACTAATTTCCTTCCAGCTAGCAACCGATAAAGTGAAGGTGTTTAGGTAGATCTTGTGATAGACCACTAGCAGATCCACAGCCTAGGAATTCATCTTAATTAACTGGACATGTTTTGCAAATTGGAAACTTGCATTTCAAATGGAACTTGTGAAAGTATAAATGACTGTTTTGAAATGAAATTATGTTTCAAATCTTGTTATGTATAATGTACAACATCATGATCATGTGCATTGCGAAATCATATAGTTAGAGTAGAAGCATTCTTTACTGGACTATATGTTCATCACTTCTTGTTTAACTCTTTTCAAGTGTTTACCAGGACCATGAGTTTGTGTAGAACTTTGGATGTGGCTATGAGCTCTCTTATTGTTGATGGCCTAAGGCCTTGTTTTGTATGGCTGGGTGACTTATTTGTAAGGGCTAGACCCTATTTTGCTGTAGTAACCTATGGGCCATTTAAACACAGTGAAAGATTATTTTCGCGGCATGTTGTATATTCGAAAGACTCATATAGCTTTGAATATAGAATGCATGTTAGTTATTGAATCATTGAATGTATGTATTAGAATGGAGTTTGATTATGGGTTCCATTTTGTTCTAATGTATTATTTCTCCTTTGAATTCCATTTGTTCCTTTAAATTCCTTTATGATTCAGCTATCCCATTGATTATCCAGTTTATTCTACTTCTTTACTCACGGGCTAGGATCCTGTGAATCCAAAGTGTGACAGTAGCTGTATAAGAAAACTGAAAGAATAATATTTGAAACACAGTTGAATATATCAACCAAATTTGGAATCTGGATGAAAGCAGACTTGGATATCTCATCGCAAAGTAGTCAAAAAATAGATCAACATGTCACAAAATTTCAAAGCCCTCCAAACCACGTGCTGAAGGATACAGTTTGACACCTTATCAATGTCAAGTATATTTGTCTTGTCAAAAAGTGCTAAAACTTGAATGGCACTGAGGGTATACAGTAGATGTGGGTCATGTCCAATATTACCACCAAATCCACCTATATGAACAAATATATCATCATATGCTCTAAAGCAACATATACCTTGAAGATAAGTTCCAATTGTTAAGTAATTAGAATTCGATTTTCAAAAATCGATCTGTACGGGGTACATCACAATTCACACCGTGTCCATATTTAATCAATAAAAAAATGGAAGTAATTCGCATTTGGAATGAGATAAACTATGATATCATTATCACATACCAGATTCATGTTGGCACTTCATGACCCATGAAACAACCTCCTCAGAGTTCACTTCATCAATTTTTCCCAAAAGATCCAGAGTGGTCAGCCCCCAATACGCTCCATTGATTCGTAGATGTTCCATCACCACAGATTCAAAATCATCCTTCTTCTGAAAGAAAATTTTCCAAAATTTGAATGGATATGAGGAAACAAGTTAGCTACAAATCTGTTCTTTTTGAAAAACGAAAACATCAAATTAAAGAAAAATTGCAGTAAGCACACCTTTTCTACTGATAAAATGTAGTTAGCATGCTTTTCAACTTCTAGCTCCCCCATGCTGCAATCAACATAACACATAAAAACCAACATTCTTAAAATCATAGAGACAGACAGTAAACAAGTTCGTTGTTTCCTGTTTTGTAGAAACTTTAGCTTCAATGTAACTGTAGCAGAATATTCTGGTGTACTGGTTTAAATCCACTGCTATGATTTAACACAAAATTATTAGACTCGTGTGCAAGGATAAGGAACTATACTAAAGGAATTGCCTCCAACAAATTTCCTCCATGAATATTAAATTTAAAAGAATCAAAAGAATACATATGAACTATATCTTGAAACAAAAAGATGGCGAGGATCATAAATTCAATTGAACATCAGCAAAGAAATCACATGTGCAGTTGTGTGTGTGTTGTGTGTTAAGAGAGAGAGAGAGAGAGAGAGAAAGCAAATCTTCAATTCATATGCATAAGTCCAAGAAAATTAACAACAATACCCTGCTTCACATTTTATCTATATATATATAATACTTGTACGTGTACCTATGTACACAGATATATACAGTCAAGATATCGTTAGGGAAAAAAAATAAACCTAAATAAAACCTGTTAAAATTTACAATAAGCAAACAAAGTAACCCACACTTGATATATTTGATGTAATTAAATGCGTTACATGGACTCGGCACTTTGGGGCGAACTATCCGCGTCGACACAACACGACACGGGTGCGGCGTCTGTGTCAGATTTGCCTCTTCTCTCTCGAACACGGCTCTTTACAGACAGCAAAAAGAAATGAAAGAGAGAGCAAGAGAGAACCTGGTCGCCTTTCGAAACGGCGAAGACATCGGTCGCCGACTTCGACCCCTCTGGTCGCTGCCTCGACAGCTTCGACTTTTGCTGGATGCTCGATCTCCTTCTCTGTCTTCTCTCTCGTCTCTCGATCTCTCTTCCTCTCCTCTCCTCTCACGATCTCTCTCCTCTCTCTGTCTCTCTCTCAATAATATAAATTATATTATTGTTTCGTCTGGGAAGAGTTAAAGGGAGTTTTTTAAAAAAAAAAGAAAAAAAGAAAATGTTGATTATTTTAGTCACAAAAAATAAAATATCATATAAAATTCATAATTATTATACTTTTTTTAAAAAAAAAAATCAAAAAGTTAAAAAATTCTTTCTAAATCAAATTTTTTAATCTAAACTAAAATAGCAAAAAAAATCAAAAAGCTAAAAAATTAAAAAACCAACCTACTTCCTAAACTAACCCTATATAAATTATATTATATACTAATATTAATATATATATCATAAATAATATAATTTTTATATATAAAATAAACCTCACTTATTTTATCATAATATAATTTATTTTATATTTAAAATAATTTTTATTTAATATTTATATAATATAACTTAACTTTATATAATAAGTAATTTTTTTACAAAAAAGTTATTAAATGTATTCTCGAATCCGTATTCAAATTTAAATATATATTCATATATCTTCAATTTTTAATTTTTAATTTCGAAATATCTAATTCTCACCTCCAATATCCGTCGATACCCCAGTCTGTGTCATATAAAATATCATGAATAATGCTTAGGACCCCCTTTGGGGTCACCCCTCACCCCCCTTTGTCACGTGACGGGTGATGATTGGAGGAGCAGGAAAAAAAAGAAAAAGAAAATGTAACCAATGAGAGAGAGAGGGGGTCAAAAGGGGTGGGGGAAAAGGGAGATGAATCATTGTTGAAATATCATATCCTAAAATATCATACCCAGTGCACGGGGTAGCGATAAACCACCCCCTCCCCCCCTTTTTATTTTTTTTATTTTTATTTTATGTAAATGAGATTATTAGATGGCAGTGGTGAAATATTTTAAAGAACACTACCTTAGGCCTCCTAGCTCCATTTCAGATTATCTAACAACAGTGAATATGTATTTAGGGGTGTTTGGAAACTTGTTTTTGAATTTTATTTTTATTTCTTTCACTATAAGATAAATATTTTACAAAATCAAAAAAAATAAATACAAACAAAATATCACATCAAATTCCATAATTATTTTACTTTTTTTCTCACAAACACCATATCCAACCACAAAAAATTCAACAATTTTTCTAAACACAAAAAATTTATTCTCTAATAATATTTTACAACTAAAAAAATCCACTTTACAAACACCCACTTTGTCCCATGGAAGTCCAGAAAATCAGAGTTCAATGGCGGAAAACTGGAACCCAGATTACCTAACTAGAACCTGAACAATGATGAGATGAAGTCCAACATGGGATACGTACTGCTTAGTCCACCATGGAATCCAAACTAATCGCATTAAAAGTGACACTGGCAAAGGAAGCTAGAGCTTGAGTAAGAATCCAGATTCATAACAGAAGAAACCTGTGTATACTTTTGAAGCTTAGCATAGCACACAACAGCTGTTTAGCAACATTGACTAATTAAGGCCAAGTTTAGGAAGGCTAAATAAGTGCACTTTTTGTCTTTTTGGACTAAAAAATTGAGGTTGAAAATATGGATGTTTGGGTTAACTTTTTGACTTTTTATTGGAAAATGTGTAATAAAAAAATTGTAAAAATTGATTTGTAGAGGGTTTGTAGAGGAAAATTTGAATTGGGAGTTGTGCAGCCGTAATTGTTGACTTTTGGTAAATAGTGTTAACTTTTTAACTTTTTGAGTAACTTTTTGACTTTTTGGCTTTTTTTAACATCCCAAACTTAGCCTAAGTCAGAGGAAAAATTGGTCAAACTGTCAAACCAAAATATTGCTAAAAAGCTAATATTAGAAACAATAGGAGAGAAATGGGGCGCAATTTACCACTAGGCATAGACTTAGTTCTTATTCATCAAAGTTTGATTTAGTAGCTAATGATATTTTCGTAACTCACGGCAGCAGCACCAAAAAAGAATCAAAATAACCCCATGGATGATTTTCCTTTAGCATACACATAAAAGAAAGAAAGAGCAAAAAAATTGCATAACCCACCTTCAACACCCTGCTGCCACCCCAAGCCGCTCCTCCATACTCTACCCTCCACCTCCACCCCGCCCCTCATCACCTCTGCACTACCACCACCAGCCCTTCTTCCACCCTTCTCCCCCTCCCCCTTCCACACCTATATCTGCCACCCTAAAAAACATGGATACGGATATAGATACGGATACAAGATACGGGTACTATTCAATATGCACTACTAGAAACAGGAGCATTTGATACGGAACAATTTGCGATGGTTTAAGTGCCGTCGCAAAAGCTTGCTTTTTGCGATGGTTTAAGTACCGTCATGGAAATTATAGTTTTTGCGACGGAAAAAGTTAGACCGTGGCAAGAATAAGTTATATGCGACGGTAAGTTAAACGTCACAAAATTTTTCTGGTTTTAATTTTTTTTTCCTGTTTTGCGGCGCTCTTTTGCCAATCCGTCGCAAAATTTTGCTTTTTTCTCTTTCATTTGCGACGGCCTTAATATCGTCGCAAATAGTAATTCCTAATTTCGCGCCAAAGCCCCCTCTCCCACTCTCCCTCTTTGCCGATATTGCGCCAAATTCTCTGTTATCTCTTCAGATCAAAAAAAAAAAAAAGCCCCAATCTCACTGCTCTCTTCCTCCTTCTCACCCAGTCGTCACTCTATCTCTCTTGCACCGGCAACAGCAGCGTCTAGGTAACCAGCCCTCTTCTTTCCTCTCGCTCTTGCTCACGCATACCCTCCCTCTCACCCAGTCGTCGTTTTGTCTCTCTTGTAGCGGCAACAACAGCGTCTGTAGCAGCGGCAACACCGTCTCTCTAGCAGCGCCAACAACAGCGTCTCTCTGGTTCTCCCTCCGGCATCCAGGTATAGCCTTCCTTTGTTTCTCCCTGCTCATCAATTCAAGAATTTGTTGGTGTAAAATCTTGTTATTAAGTAACAGGTATATTGATTTCAGAGTGCAAAATCTTGGTATTTTTTTCTTGGGCGGTCTGCTTTTGGCATGTTCATACCAGATGCTTGTGTGGATAAAATTTATTGTTTCATGCCTTGTATTTTTATTTTTTTATTTCTTTGGGGCTGGGTGAAGGTGCACTCCAAGACTCGGTGAGATACAAGCGCAGAACCTACAGATTAAGAGGTTGAACTTGGCTGAGCAGATCCTCCAGATGTTGAACATGGATACTAATAAGGTTTTTTTTGTTGTTAAATGATAATGCCTTTTTCTAAAACTCTAGATTGGCAACTCCATGCTTCCATCCTGTCATGAGTTTAAAATATCTTATTATTCGTTACTTCTCTATTGCATTAATATCTACATTGATCATGCCAAAAGGAATGTGATGAACGCATTTTGTTTCAGTTTCTCCTAGTTCTTAGTTGATTAAGAAGCTGTACTCTATTTTTTTTTTTTTGTCCCGTGAGAATTACTCTATTGATCTGTATGAATACTGAATGGTGTGTTCTGGCGAGGCACCAGTAACATTTAGCTTTATATTTACGTATTTTCTTATATCAAAGGTTCTATCACATCTGTGCAGTATGTTTTCTGCTGTGTGTGTTGAAGCTTTGCCTCTGTTTTCTGCAGTTAGAATGTGTTTGATATTAGTTCTGCAGTGTAGTTTCTAAGTTCTAGTGTTGGTTGGGTTGATGAAAGTTTGCTTTGTGCTTCACTTACTATATAGGCACTTTAACGTTGAATTCAGATATAGTAACCAATGTTACATATTGATCTGTAGAAAAATTCCTCTGCTGTTTAGGTGGCTCTCAGAGTGTTCTGCTGATAGACCTGCTGATTCATCTCAGTGAAGTTCTGCGGTGTTCTGCTGATAGACCACTCAGTTGCATTTTCAATGGTCTGTTTGCTGGTTTAGTTTGGCTTTCGTTTCAGTTTTGGGTGCTGAGTGGTGTGCAACCGGCTGGAAATATGTTTGGTGGCTGCCTTCTCTATTGTATACTGCTGTTTGCTCTGTTGGTTCTGTAGTGTATACTGCTTCTGTTTTTTTTGGTTTTCTCTGTGTTGGATTCTCTCCAACTGGAGCTCCGAGCTTAATGTAGCTCCGAGCTCCTCTTTATTGATGTACTCTATCTTTTATATGATTCCATCAATAAAGATTCTTTTTGCTTTATATTTACATATTTTCTTATATCAAAGGTTCTATCACATCTTTATTTTTCTGCCATATAATTTTTGTCTTTATTCATGCTGTTTTGTCTGTTTCAATGAACTAAATCTATTTTTATGATCGTAAAAATCCATCTACTGAATGCCCATCTTTTATGCACATGATTGTTTGGTTCTCTAATTTTGCAGGTTGCCGGACTGATACTGGAGAACACTGTCACATCTATTTTGGACATGGCTGGAGTTCTTCTACGCTTTCTGAAATGGTTTATTGGAAGTAGTAGCTCAAATGGTCCCAAGGTTCTTAATTCTGTTGTTTGTTCTCCATGTAGCACGATTGATGTAATTGGCCAGGTAAGCAACTAGTTGGTAGAGCTTTAGATTTTACTTGTGTAAGACTTTTAAACTGTGTTGCATGGACACCTAATGGTGTACCTGAATGAGGAATGACTACTAAATTCTTGTCTTCTTGTGAAGAAATTTTTTTTGTTCTCTAAACTTTAATTATACTAATCTATGATTGGCATGGACTCACATCAATGTTAAGTTTGAAAGTGAATAAAAATAAAGGATTTTGTTAATGTGTACCCTAAGGGCACTTTTTAAGGAGTTTAAATTGATTGTACATTCTTTATCTTTTCTATCAAATTGATGATAACCACTACCTACATTCCTACAAAAAATGTATAACTATTTTAAGCTTTGTTAATCAATGCCCTTAGGGCACTCGTTGGCAAGACCTAAAGTAAAACTGGGACTTATAAGCTTAACATATGTCTTGTTATTGCATGTATGTTGCCTTTCAGAAATTTTTGTAATTTTCTGTTAAAGTTAATGACGTCTTATTCTTTTATTTTATTATCTTATTTTGTTCAGTATCAGTAATAGTTTAGTGTTCTTGAATAGCCAAATTTTGCATGACCCTTGCACTTTCAATTTTGCTTTGATATTGAGATTCCTATTGCTATGTTGAAAATTTACCTCACTGGTGTCTCTAAGTCTGTTGGATTTGGATTTATCAAGGGAAAGAAAGTGAAGGGAAATGGAATTACTTATGCATTCTCATTTTTGTAGGTACAAAAGGATTTTTTTTAAACAAATACGTGTTCATTTTCTTTTCATTTTCCTTACCCAACTAAAAAAGAGAGAAAAATTTAGTTGTACTTTCAACTTTTTTCCATAGCTTTTCCCTGTTTCTTTTCCTTCCACAAGTCCTTCCTCAAATCTAAGATCCAAACACACCCTAGAAGCGACATGTTCGAGTTTAATGGTCTTTTGCTCCTTCGTTTACCTTTTTCTGCCTTTGCGTCTGCTCATGTGATTTGTGCATCACACCATTGTTTTCCTTTTTGTCTGCAGATCAAACAACCAAACCTTTTCCTCTCTGGATTGCAAGATGAAATGGTTCCTCCACCGCACATGCAAATGCTATATGCTAAAGCTGCTGCACATAACAGTTGATGCATCTTTGTGGATTTTCCTAATGGCATGCATATGGACACATGGCTGTCTGGTGGAGATCGCTATTGGAGAACAGTTCGACTGTTTTTGGAACAAAATGTTTCAGAGAACAAGGATGATCTATCTTCCCACAAGGGCAGTTGTAAGTTTTTGACTTCAAATATTAGAATATCCTACGATTGCTAGCCCACATCCTCCAACTATTCCCCCCAAACTGAAAGAAACACAAACATTAAAATGCACTGCAAGAGCAGTGTAAAATTTTGGACATTAAATCTTACTGCAAGAGCAATGTTTCAGAGAACGAGGATGATGAATCTTCCTGTAAGGGTATTGCTAAGTTTTGGATATCAAATCTTCTAAAGTTCTAATATTGCCAGCCCATGTCCTCCAACCCCACCTCCCAAACTTTAGAAATCAAAGAGACCACCCGTTTTCTTTAAAATTGAATCTGTTTCCTCCTCTGGTTCACAGCTTTCTGATAATTCTTTTGCTAGTTGGAAACCCAACTTGACGCAGTTTGAATTGTGGCTTAAAATTAATTGGCTGACTCATTTGGCCTTAACTTTTAGTCGGTATTTTTTTTTATAAGAAATGCTAACCACTGCCCTTGAGCGATGTTTAATGTTGGTAGATGTGTAAAAAATGTATTGAAATATATGAAAAGTGTATAAAAATATATAAGTGTATGAAGATATGTAAAATGCGTATTTAGTACATATTACAACTAAACTGACTTTTTTGTTAGTATATATTTCATATATAAAATATATACATGCTCACATAAGCACTCCCAATCTTAGAAATGTTTATATGCCCCTGCTTCATGCACAACTAAGGTTAATACTTAATTTATCACTATTTATAGCTCATAGTACCACTTTGACACAGTTATCACTAACAGTTGATGTTTGTACTTTGATGATTATCCTGCCTGCTTTCAGATTCTGAGGCACGGTGACTGGCCGAGGTTTAGAATCTTGTGGTCTAATGCATTAGGCCACCCCAGAACTCAAACTATTTGTACATTTTTGACATTGTAGTGACGGAAAGCTCTTTGTGATTGCCGGTGGGAGCTGCTGCATCAGGTCTTTTTTTCTCTAGGAGACATTTTTTCAGTTTACCAATGTTAGAAGATCGAAAAATGTGAATGCCTTCCGCTATACTATATGACCCAAACATACTGCTCAAGCTTGGATCAATCCTAACTTATGATCATTGTGTGAAATAAGAAGCTGAAAAAAATGAAACTATGTGCCATAAATTTATGAGCTGAACTGGCTGACTTTTTTTTGATGTACTATGACGGGCCTATTTTTTTTTTTTTGGACAATTTTTAGCTTGGGAATTGGGACTTCGAGAAGTTTGAGTAACTTGTTGAGTCAAATGACATCTTGATGATCTGCCCTATAGTGCTATATTGATTCATTCTTGCTTCTTGTTTTAGTGTTTTTCAATTAGACTATATTTTGGAATATGAATCGAAAGAACTGTAATACATGAGATGGTTGCAAGTGTACATTATTTTGTAGGGGATTGGGATCCCTCTCCATTACATGATGTCATTTATGTGTTATTATTATAATTAAGTTTGGATAGCTAGGGGGTTATTTGATGTTGGTAAGCTATCAAGCACAGATAAGTTTAGAAGGGATTCCTTTATGTATTTGATACTTGATGTCAATTTTGGAAAGTATCATATACTATGTATACTTTAGGTCACATATAAAAACTTGTTACTTAATAACTCTAAACCGGTTGACACACTAAAATGCTCAAACGGGTTCGGATGTCAACGAAACTTGACACGCGCAACATACTTGGCACACATGACTTGTAGGAGAAGACAGAACTCGATGAAAACTTCTTCTTTACAAACTCTTTTTGTGTTTATTCGATTATTGTTATAGATTATAGCTCAATGTGTACAATCATTGCCTATTTTTAATGGTATTATCATTATTGTAGGATGTAATTAAAGTTTCTTTGGAGAGTTCTGTAATACCAAGAGTCGAATTGGCGGAGGGACTTCTTATTAGTGTCGATCCTTTGTGTGAAATTGATGGAGTTCCAATTGGCCCTGAATTTTGCAAAGTTTTTGTTTTAAAAGTGAACAAGTCGAACGCTGTTTTGGAAACAACATCCCGATGTCTAAGAACAGTTGGAGAAGTTGTGGAAAGATACATTGTGTGGTGCTCGATTCATATATATGTTACAATCTTATTTATTTATTTATTGAAATAAATATCAAATGTTTTACATTTTCTGAAGCTTGAAATTAATTATATTGTAAATTATTTTTTTTTTTTTTTTTTTTTTTTTTTTGCAGGTGTAACCCTTTTGAGTACGCGATGATATCTTTGCATATCGATATTAGAGTTTACAATCTTATTTATTTATTTATTTATTGAAAAAAAACCAAATGTTTTACATTTTCTGTAAGCTTGAAAATAATTATGTTGTAATTTGTTTCTTTTTGCAGATGCAAACCTTTTGAGTATGTGATATCTTCGCATGTCAATATGGGGGCTTACTATTGATATCAAAACAAGCTACATTATATCTGTTTTTATTTTTTTATTTCTATTGTCGATACTAAAAATTTGAGTTCTTGAATTTCAAAAATTATTAGTATTGTTAGAGGTTATTTTATATATTTTTGTAAATAATATTTGATTGACAATTGTTACAAGGTACATATATTATTCTTGGTATATGATTTTTTGAATGTGAATTTGGATGTGGATGTGATGTATTTTTAAAAATATTAATAATTTGTATAGGAAAAATTTAATAAAATATGATTTTATAAAAAATAATTTTATTGCGACAATAATAAACCACCGCTAATGTAATTCTCATTTCCTTATATTTTATTAGCGACGGGTTAACATATCGCATATACATATTAGTTCCAATCTTTTGCGACGGTTTAAACTGTCGTAAATAAATCTTTTGCGACGATTTAAACTGTTGCCAATACGGTATTAACTTAATACTACTTTTTTGGCGACGTTTTAGACCGTCGCTAATAATACTTTTTTGCGACGACAAATACCGTCGCTAAAAAAGGTTTTTTGCGACGGCAATCAACATCGTCACTAAAAATGCCATTTTTTCCCTTTTTTTGTGTCAGGCGAAACCGTCACAAAAACTATTGATTAGCCATCGCTACAAGAATGCGACGGTTTGTAACCGTCGCAAATACTTTTTGTCACGCCCCTTTCCGCCGCCCCCCATTTTCTATCGCTGCTCCGTCGAAAGCGAAACCGTCACAAAAACTATTGATTAGCCATCGCTACAAGAATGCGACGGTTTGTAACCGTCGCAAATACTTTTTGTCACGCCCCTTTCCGCCACCCCCCATTTTCTGTCGCTGCTCCGTCGAAAAATTTTGCGACGATATATGGACCTTTTGCGACGTTTGAGACCGTTGCAAAAAGTCTGATTTTTAGCAGTGATGATACGATACGATACTGATACGGCGATACGATAAGATCTAAGAATATAGGATACAAGTGCAACTAGGATACAATTGTAAAACAAAAATTTGAAAAATTATTAGTAGTGAAATATGAGCTCAAGATTTTGAAAAGCTCCACTATAATTTTATGATGCAAAATACTAACTTGTAAGAATTAGGTATTAATTTAAGTTTTTCAATAGGTCTTGCAAATATTTTATTTCAATATCAAGTCTAATATATTTATATTACAATAATAGAATAATCCACAATTTGTCACTATGCTTTTCCCTTTGGCACTAGTAAAACTGTTAAATTCAAGTTTCCTTATTTATTCATTTATATTTAATTTACTATTGTTATATTCTTTTGCAAATCCTTATGTACTAGTTACAGGCCCGGCCCTGGCCATAGGCCCACAAGGCCATGGCTTAGGGCCCCTCAAAATAGGGGCCCCTCCTATTATAAGTTAGTATAATATATTGGGTATGTTTTAAATCTAAAATAAATTTAAAAAAAACCCAAATTAACTTAATTTTTTTGACCCATTAAAAGGCCAATAGTTAAGGCCAGCCCAACCATTTGAAAGGCCCATTTTTTCTAATTCCTAACCCTATCTTCTATTAATCCAACATTCCCTACATTTGTTTGATATAGCACACACCAGTGGCATAGGAACGGAGTAGCAGAACAGGTAAATTATTTATTTATTTATTCATTTATTTTCTATTCAATTAATTAAATATTTATCTTGTCTTTTGCACAATTAATTGTTATTATAATATTGGTATTTACATCATTAAGAAGAATTTACTTATGTTTAATAGTTCACATCACATGATTTAAAAGTTTTGTGTTTTGTTAAGTGGGGTGCTCTTGTTTTGAATTTTGATTTAAAAAAATATTTTGATCTCAGCACAGCAAGCACACGTAAATTTTTATTTTTATTTTTCTATTCAATTAATTAATTTTTTTTTCTAAGTATTTTTTGTGATTTTAATACAAATCTTTTGTCCTTTACCTTAAATTTTTTTTTTTTCAATAAAAAAAATGTGAAGAGGCCCAGAAATTTAGTAGTTGATTATCGGCTTTAGGCCCCGAAAATCTCAAGACCGGGCATGTGTAGTTATAGGGGACATGCATGAAACGATAAGGATACATCAATTTAACAAATTCTATTACTTCAACTCATTATGTTCTTCTTATCAAAGAACTAAACTAAGTATTAGAAAAATATTCTTCAATTTATCCTTACAATTATATTATGTTATAATGCTATGCAAGAAATGTTACAATTCTAATTTTGTAAAAATAGTAATATGTGACTTGGATCGTCTAAAATGTAGTGACTATAAGGTAATTCTCAAATAGAGTCAGACATCTCAACATAGGATTTTGGTACTAGATTTATGCTTTAAAGGGCAACACCAAGCTACGAAGGATAGGGGGCGTCATAAGACAAGATGGTGGGACCTAAAAGGGGATAAATTAGAAATATTTAAGAATAGAATTGTTGAATAAGGTACTTGGGACTTGGAAGACGATGCTAAAACTATGTGGAACTCGATGACGAATCGTATGAGGAGAATCTTAAGGAAAGTCCTTGGAGAGTCAAAGAAAAGAGACCCAACTCTAAGAAAACTTGGTAGTGGAGGAATGAGGTCCAAGTGGTAGTAAGGACAAAAAAATGGTGCTTTAAAAAGTGACAGAAGGGTAGAACCGAAGAAAACTTTAAGAGCTATAGATTGACTAATAAGGAGGTAAAAAAGTAGTGAGAGAGGCTAAGTTGAAAACCTATAATGACTTACACACTAGACTAGATAGTAAGGAAGGAGAGAAGAGAAAATACAAACTTGCTAAGATAATAGACAGAAAAACAAGATATTTTAATTAGGTTAAGTGCATCATGAGTGAAGACTCTAAGGTATTGGTGAATGATGAAGAGATTAAGGATAGATGGAAGAACTGTTTTGAGAAGTTGTTAAATGAGGAATATGGAGGAAAGTTAAAAGTAGAGGAAGTAGCCAGTAATGAGAAAAACCAAGACTGCAGGTTCTATCACAAGATTAAGAACTTTGAAGTGGAGATTGTAACGCCCTCAAAATATACAATAAATACACCCAAAAAGCACATATAAATGGCAACATAAATAAAAGAGTATTAGTCATTTCATTACATTAAATTAATAATACAAAAGAGTTTAACATAAATAAATGCCCTTCGGGCTTACATCTTTTCCAAGTCTTAGCTTGGTTATAACAAAAGAAGACTAGCTCATACAAATTTAGCCCTAGGCTATACAAAAAAAATAAAATAAAATAAAAACAACGCGAGAAGCTCTTGCTTCCCAGAGTTCCCTCAAATGCTATTGCCTTGATGGAGGCATACCATCATTACCTAAAAATGTTTTTCCCAAATAGGATGAGCCACAGTCCAGTAGGAACAATCTAACACAATATATGAGATTTAACAAAGGTATATGTGAAATATGCATATGTAATGCCCGGGATAAAACATTCATACTTTTGTATTGCCATAGAATAACAATTTCATATTCCATTACACTTTCCTCCAGTTCATTTCAAAATATTTAAGTCAATTTCAATATCTCTCAATAACCCAAATGAGACTACAACTCAAAGCATCATCAATTTCACAATTTACATACAAACACTTCCAACTGCCATTTTACGGATATTTCGTCTGCAGGATCGGCACCCATGTATAATTTCAATTTGCTATTTTACGGATATTTTGTTCGCGAGATCGACACTCATGTATACTTTCGGGACTTTCACCCAAGACACTCTGACGTCCATTTCCTTTTTCCTCCCAAACAATGGAGTCCATCCCTTTTCTCCTCCCAAACAATCATACATATACAATGTATTTAAACACATAATCACACATATGGAGTATATCTCCTTTCTCCTCCCAAATAATCATACATATATAATGTATTCATAACATGATCATATTCAATGATAATCAACCATGGACTAGTTTCAATTTACCCAATCCACATGCAATTTCTACAACAATCAAAGCTATCCTCAACTGATAGCCCAATACAGATATTTCTAAACATATATACAATCTCAAGATAGATAATTTAATCAAAATTTCCAAGGATATGAAGCATTTCATATTCAATTCCACCATCCATTCCAATACTCGCTCAATTTCATGTTTACAACACCAATTTTAACTATTTATACAAAATATGTATACTAGTCATTTTAGGGCAAAAATTCCCCCTTTTCAAAATATCAATCCAAGTACCAAAAACACCCATTTTGACACAACAAGACTTCATGTTCAAACCCCAAGTTCATTTATTTCATTTCCACCAAAACCCCCTCCTTTCCATTTACACCCAAATGCTAGGTTTGTTCAAAATGCTTCCACAACCCACCATTGTTACCCAACCACAAATAACTAAGTTAAATCATAACAAAGTGTAAAAAATCCCCACCTCAAGCAAAAAAGATGAGAAAAGCAAAGGTAGAACACCAAAGATGTTCAAACCCAACGTTATTTGGTTCAAAACGTAGATCTTGAGATGCTCCAACTTTTTCTCAAAGGTACTAGGGTGAGGAGATCAAAGAAAGACCACAGATAAACCGCGGACAACAGATAAACCGCTCGAGCGCAAGAAAGACCACTTGAGCGTCCACTCGCTCGAGCGTAGGAAATGTTGCTCAAGCATGAAAACATTCATCCAGTACTTTTGTAGACACGCAAAGTGCTGAGAGTTTGCAACACCCACTCGAGCACAAAAGGGCCTGCTCGAGCGGAGGACCAAAATACTAGGAATACAACACGAGACGGGTTAAAAATCGAGATCGCAATAGAGATTGCACTTAAGAAGATGAAATTCAATAAGTCTTTAGGACCTGATGATATCCCTATTGAATGTTTGGGTAAGAAGGGGCTTGCTTGGTTGACTAGATTATTTAACAAGATTTTGTTGACTAAGAAAATGCCAGAGGAGTGGAGGAAGAGTACTTCAGTGCCAATCTATAAGAATAAAAGAGATGTCCAAAATTGCAATAACTATAGAGAAATCAAGTTGATGTGTCATATAATAAAAGTGAGGGAGAGAGTGATAGAATGTCGATTGTGAGATATAATAGAGGTGTTAGAAAATCAATTTGGATTTATGCCTAGTAGGTCAACAACGAAAGCGATCTATCTTTTGAGAAGAGTAATAGAAAGGTGTAAAGAGAAGAAAACAATTCATATGGTATTTATTGATCTTGAGAAAACAT